TTAGCAATCTGATTACTAGGTATATATCCTAGAGAGGGGAGAGCCAGGACAGGAACAGATACATGCACATCCATGTTCATCACAGCACTATTTGCAATAGCAAAAAGACGGAAACAACCTACGTGCCCATCAACAGAAGTGTGGGTGACCAAACTATGGTACAGACACAGAATGGAATGCTACGCAGCACTAAAGAATAATGTAGAATCTGTGAAACACCACATAATATGGATGAACTTGAAGGACATTATGCTGAGTGAAATAAGCTAATCACAGAAGGACAAATATAGTATTAGTTCGTTGTTGTGGAGGGTCAAGGAAAGGTTTATATATGGAGGGAAACTTTCTTTGTTGGTTGCCAGGGGTAGGAGGGGAGGGGAGGGAATACTGAAAAAAAAAAAAAAGAAAGAAAAATGCATTGACCCATGTCACTTTAGTTTTGTGTAGTTCACTGTACATAAATTTTATCTCAATAAAATGCATTTTAAAAAAAAAAAGACCCAGTGGCATCATGAACTGGAGCTAGAAAGTGATCAGAACCTGTGACTGGAAGTCATTCTTGTCTTGGTATTTACAGCATCACATGCCAAACTTGAAGAAGTTCACCAGGATTTTTAAAGCTCACTTCCCTCTGAATTGATTCATGTCTCAAAATATGTTGCTCAGATTTTCAAAAACAGAAAGTGAAGGAAATCTCGGTACTGCAAATGCCTCATCTTATCGCAAGAGGCGTCCTGGTGGCGCAACTTATCAAGCACTCGGCTGCTAACCAAAAGATTGGTGGTTTCAAGCCGCCCAGTGGCTCTGAGGGAGGAAGACCTGGCAATCTGCTTGCGGAAATGATTACAGCCGAGAAAAGCCTGTGGAGGAGTTCCGCTCTGTCCCACGGGGTTGCCACGAGTTGGAGTCGACTCGACAGCACCTGACAGCCCTAAGTCAGAGTGATTTACCTCTTAGTGCTGCTAGTTCCAGAAAGAGGACTCACTGGGGAACAAAGCATGACTTGGTCCTTGAGTGCATGCTGGGAGGCAGTGGATGTTCTGGAAAAGGGTGTGCAGGTCGTGAGCCACTCAGTTCTGTGGGGGGATCTGGGATGGAGATTTCCACTGGCCTGTTCTGTGCATAGACTGCTGTGCTCACAGGAAATTAGCTCTGAGCCCTGCCTGGCCAAACTCTTGAAAGGAAACAGCCTGCAATCAGTGACCCAACAGGGATGGCCATGACATAAACAGACAAAAGGAAGGAAATTTACAGCCGCCTCAGACCCTGAGCGCAAAGCAACGGCAGGACTCGGGGGGTCTAATTTATTTGCAGTTCACTAAGTCAAAATGCATGTACAATTTGTGTGTTCAATCCAATTGGATAAGTGAGTCTGTCTTCCTTGTGCACCCACTATGGATTTATAATAGTAAGAGCCAGTTTCCATCTTATATTTTTGCTCAAAAAAAAAAAAAAAAAAAAAACCCAAGAAAAAAAAAAAAAAAAAAAAAACCCAGAGAATAGAAATAAATCAAAGAAACTTGGCCTTGACTCGACAGTAGCTGACAACAACCAGGCACCTGCTGCTGGTGGCGGTGGTCCTGGCAGGACTGCACTCCACACAGAGACCCAGGTTCGATTCCTGGCATGCACCTTGGGCAAAGCCGCTGCCCGCCTGTCAGCGGAGGCCCGCGTGTGGCCAAGATGCTGAACAGGTTTCAGCAGAGCTTCCAGATGGAGACAGACTAGAAGGAGGTCCTGGTGGCCTACTTCTAAAAGTAGCCAGTGAAAACGCGTGGGTCCCAGGGGTCTGATGCCCAGCCGACCACGGGGCTGGTGCAGGACAGGCCACGTTTGGTTCGTCGTGTGTGGGGTTCCTGTGTCGGGGACGACTCGGTGGCATCTGAGGATCTACAGCGTCCTGGCATGTGAGGATGTCACGTTCTGACAGGCACGGACCCTCAGGAGGTTGCAGAGTGAGGAACTGGTCACGTCACTGGAGCACAGCCTTGACCTGTGTGAGGGTGCCTCCAGGACAGAGGCTGGGTGAGGAGGTGAGTCTGGCTGGCCCTCCAGTGGGTACAGAGCAAATGTGTCTTTTCTCTCACTCACTCTCCACGCCCTAAGTTACCCCTCGCCATACTCTCTGTGGGCAAACACTGTGTCATCTCTATGCCGCTGAGGAAGGTACTGAGTGAAGTCTAAGTCAAGGTGGTAATTATAAATCTGAGGGTTTGTAGGGTCTGGGTTCTTTCTCCAAAAAAATGTCAGAGACCTAACGATACACATGTTAGCCAACCTTCCCCTGGCATTCCGGAAGAAAATGCTGTATCTACCCTTGTATCCATTCACGATGTTCATCCAAGGCAGAGAAACACCCTCCCACTGTTTCTCATTTATTCTGGAAAAGCAAGTATCCCATTCACAACCACTTCACATTCTCTCCAACAGTAAAACACAAACAGCCCCACATTCCAAGCTTCTCCTCTCCCTGCTTCAGCAGGAAAAACCGAGGCAACCAGTGAGTCCTGCGAGCGGAGCACAATGACTCTACGCTGAAACAGAGTAAACGGGAAGAAGCTTCCTTTCTCACCCGGGCACGGGCCCGGAGGGCTGTGAGGGAGGGAAGCTGCAGGCCGGACCCACACAGCCCTGCTCTGGAGGCCACTCACTGCACCCGGCTTTCACCTAGAACACCCACCTCTTTGCCAAGACACAGAGCCAAAGGCAGCTTTTAGCTTTCTGCCTGCCTGCAGTGTCCCTCCCAAACCCATCAAGGCGCAGCTCCGGCCCAGCCCTTCCTGGGACCCACTCAGATTCTGTGGTACCTCTCACACCCTAAGGAGCTCCAGTGATGCAGTGGTTAAGGCATTTGGACACTAACCAAAAGGTCAGTGGTTTGAAACCACCAGTCACTCTGTGGAAGAAAGATGAGGCAGTCTGCTTCCATAAGTATTTCCAGCCTTGGAAACCCAACAGGGGTTGCTAGGAGTCAGAATCGACTCGATGGCAGTGAGTTGGGTTTTGGTTTCACTCTCACACCCTGTTGTTGTGGTTGGCTGCCCTCAAGTTGGCTCCAGACCATGGCGGCCCCATGCACGACAGAACAAAACGCTGCCTGGCCATGTGCTGTCCTCATGGTCGGCTGTGGATCGGGCCACGGTGCCCCACAGAGTTTCACTGGCTGATTGGTTGGAAGGTGATCACCAGGCCTTTCTTCCTAGTTCATTTTAGTCTGAACGCTCTTCTCAAACCTGCTCAGCAACATGAAATCACACAGGCCTCCACTGACACACAGGTAGTGGCGGTACATGACATGCACTGGCCGGGAATCGAACCCAGTCCTCCACATGGTAAGCAAGACCCCGCCACTGACCCGCCACTAACCTCCTCACACGCTATTACAAGAGCATATTCACTTAACTGTCCATACCCCACAGCTGGACGCTGGGGTCACACTCTACAAAGGCTGTTAGAGCATCTGTCTCTCCGCCTCAGAGGGAGCAGACAGTCTCAGGAACTGGTGTAGGGATCATTTTGGGTTCCTGGTGCATGGGAACCATACCTGTATCCAAAAGAGCCTACTAGGGTACCCAGCACAAAATAGGTCTTCAATAAAGACTTTTCCAGATTATTTCAACCTCTTATTCTTAAAGCAAAACTCACCACCCACAGCTCCTTGATATACCATCTACCATTCTGTGAAATACGGTTCAACATCATTACTCACAGAACTTTGTAACAGCCTCAACCACTGTGTTCTTTTACTGCAGCACTTTGTCACACCTGGAGCTTTAAAGCACTGAAATCCACAGCAAAGGGCCACCTGTATAACTGAGGTGAAGAGGAGGAAAAGAGGCCAAGGAAACACGGACCACATGGCAGGCCCTGTGCTAGTCACTTTCATAAACATTATCTTGTTTACTTCACAGCTGATTCTATGAGACAAGCATTACTGTCCCATTTTACAGATAAGACAACTGAGGTTCAAAGACCTTAGGTGACTTCTGTGGACCACACAGATCCTGGAATTCAGTAAAAGTCAGAGTCAGGAAACTACATAATGAAAGCATTTCACCAACTCCACAGTGACCTGTAGCAGTCATTGAAGGAACGGAATTGGAATGCAATTCACAAGTTAAGCTGAATCAGGAGATAGTGACACTGTTCAGGGTGACGACTCTCTGCTTCACCGTACAATAAAAGGGCTTTTTTTTTTTTTAACTTCAGGAACTCTGGGGGCGTAGTGCCTAAGGCATTAGACTGCTAACCAGAAGGCTGGTGGTTCAAACCCACCAGCCACTCCTCAGAAGGAAGGTTGGGCAATCTACTTCCATAGAGATACTGCCTCAGAAACCCAAGGAGGGGTCACTATGAGTTGGATCTGACTCTGGCAGTGTGTTGTGTTTTGTGTTACCTTAAAGAAGTCATAAAACATCTTCATCTGCTATTTCTGTCTGATGTATCCTAATTATCCCCATTCTTAAATGGCAAAACTTTCCTCATCACCCATTGTTAAATCCTGTGAATTAAATCCAACATCCTAACACAACACCCAAGTAGAGATTATTTTCTTGTACTATAATAAAACAAACTCCTTAAGGTTCTCATTGTCCCTCCTAGTTACGTAGACACACCAAGTCAAAAACCTGCCTCTAATTATTACACCTACTCCATGCCAAATAAACCACCACAGAAAATAATGAGGGGTAAACAAACGCCTTCCAACGTCAGATGCAGCAGGTCACCTGCACAGCGATGTTCGCCAGCCGGACACGTGCTGGGCATGGGTCCCAGACGAGGGTTGATTCCAGGCTGTGAGGATGAGCACCAGCTCTCCTGCAGGACACGAGCCTGAAGGAATGCGAACCTGCTGTCATTACAACAAAGCTCCGAGGAAAATGTGGCGAGGACACAGCAGCATGTGCACGGCTTTAGGTTTTCAGATGGCGTGGACGGCAGCCCGCCCCAGGAGCGCCGGGGCCCAAGCCCTGGGGCGTCCCCCCGTGTTGGGCGCTCACCTGTCGGGTTCGCAGGGATGCCCAGGATGGTCTTCAGCAGCTTCATGTCTTTAATGTTGTGAATGTAAATGGATCCCTCCAGGCACACGAGCAGCCTCTGCAATCACACAGACGCGTCAGTCCCCGGGCCGGGCCGGCAAAAGGTCCTGACCACATCAAAACTCTCTCTCAGACAGGTCCAAACCGTACTCTAATCCTCGGCGAGAAAGAACTGTGATGCTGCAACCTGAAGACTGTATTTATGTGTGTGTGCACACACACGTGCACACACACGTACAAAGACCTTTACTTACCTGGACAGAAAATTCGACATCTAAAGAAATTTTCTTTAGAGATTGAGATTTGTTTTCCCTTTTGCTGAGAGTAAGGATTGTGAATACCCCCTGACCAGACTCCCTTTGCCGTGGAAGGCAATTCCCGGTAGGCTTTCTGCCTCCTGTTCCCATCAGTGTTCATTACAAAGGTCTCCCTCTTACACAGACAGGCACCGCTTTGCAGCCTCTAAAGAACCACAGAAGCCGTGGTTAGCCCTCTCTGATGACTGCCTGCTGTAACTTCTTTCCGCTCCAACTCCTCCAGACCCAACTTCGTGCCTCTCCCTCCAGCCCCGGTTGCAGAAGCCCTTCAGCCCCATAGGAGCCTCTATCCCTGTGTGTCCCGTGCAGCCTCCTGCCAGCCCCTGGGGCTCAGTCAGTTCTCCCTCTGGCTGCTGCCAGTGGCCCAGACCCTTCCCATCCACTTCCAATGAGAATTTGTCAGGTTTAGGGCTTCTTTCCAAAGGCCACAGGGGTCCCCGGTGGTGCAGCCTGTACTCCTCTGCCAACCAAAAGGTGGCGCCATGGCAGAGAGGCCTGGCAATCTGCTTCCACAGATTACAGCCCAGTAAACCCTGAGGAGCAGCTTTACTCTGTAACACTTGAGGTTGCCGTGGATTGGAATCAACTTGAAGGCAATGGGTTCTGATTTTCTTCCCCCAAGGGCTATGCTGGCTGTTCAGTGGGGACAGGTCCCAAGGGGTCCCTATGCCAAGTGTTTAAAGGAACACAGTGTTGTGTCCATCAAAGTGCACAGTGTCCAGTCCTGGTGGGGAGCTGCCGGCAAGGCCTTTCCACACTCGGCAGCCACCCGTTCCCCCTGCCCAAGGGGCCTGGCCCTGCTCCCCTCCAGCCTGCAGTTCTCAGACCTCGAGGGGTGCCAGCAGCAAGCCCTGGACTCTTCCTGGTGATCCCGATTTGGGAGAGCTCCAAAGAAGTACCCCGGGTACACAAAAGCTCACCAAAGTGTGAGAGGCACTGCTCCCGGCCAGACCCTTTTATCCCAAGGAATGACCGCTGGAAGGAAGGGTCTCAAAAACTCTACAGCAAAGCCGCAGGGTCCCCGTTTGGGCCAGGCCGGCCCTACTGCTCTCCCAGCAGGACTCGTCACAGTTCAAAAGAATGGAGATCAGCAACCTTCACCGGACAGGAAAGGAAAACTGGAATGCCTTCCTCAGTTTGAATGAAGGAGGCCTCAACACTGATGACAAGAGGTATTGGTGTTTCTCCAGCAGACGTTTATTCTCTGATTTACCCAGTCACTTGCCCTTTGCCGGCACTTAACTATTGCTGTAAGGAGCTCTGGTGGTGCAGTGCCTAAGGCATCTGATTGCTAACCAGAAGGCTGGTGGTTTGAACCCACCAGCCACTCCACAGAAGGAAGACTGGACAATTTACTTGTGTAAAGATTTACTGCCTCGGAAACCAGTGGGGGTCGCTATGAGTCGGGATTGACTCGATGGCAGTGGGCCTGGTTTTGGTTTGGTTTAACTATTGTTGTTAGTGGCCGTCAAGGCAGTGCTAACTCACGATGACTTTATGTATAACAAATTGACACACTGCCCAGTCCCGCATCATCTTGCTATGGCTGGCAAGTTAGAGCCCGTTGTTGGGGCCACTCTGGCCCCGCACCTCACGGAGAGTTTCCTTGTTTTCAGTGACCCTCTACTTTACCTGACATGACGCCCTGCTCTAGCAACTGCTCTTTCTTATGACGCATCCAAGTACAGTTTGGACGGTATTAGGCCCTTCTGGCTCATGTCCTTAGGTTTCTGACACCTGCACCTAAGTTCCCATCATGGGGTCCAGCACAAATGCCTTCTGCAGGAAGCGTCTGCGTCCAGATCCCTTGCTCTGCATCTTTCCCCACCAGTTCTCACGCACTGTCTGTTCTTGGTCCACTCTGCTGAATCTCGGATGGACCCATGCTTGCCGCAGACAAGAATCAAATGGGGGGACCTAGGAACCGCTGGGAGAGGAAGAGGAGACACGTCAGCTGGAGTTCATGTGAGAGCATGCTTCTGGGATGAATGTTGTCAGCCCTGACTCCTGATGACCCACGTACAACAGAGTGAAAGCAGCCCGGTCGGGAGCCATCCTCATGACCGTGGGTCTGCTCGAGTCCGGAGTCGCAGCCACAGGCACTGTGAGTGCCTTCCACCCTAGGGGGCTCATCTGCCAGCAGCAGAGCAGACAGTGTTCCATTTGATCCATAGGATTTTAGTTAGCTCATTTTTAGAAGCAGACCCAAGTCTGTCTGAGGCTAGAAGCTCCGCGGAAATCTGTCCATCTGGGTGACCCTGCTGGTATCTGAAATACTGGTGGCACAGCTCCCAGCATCACGGCAACACAGAAGCCACCCCAAGATGACAGACGGGTGGTCCCTTTCTAACGGCTCTCCCTACCAGTGTCCAGGCTCGGCACAAGCGCGGGCTCACCCTCGCCAGCTCATTCCCTGTCTCTCTGGCTCTCCTCTAGTTTTCCAGGTTGTATAAGTAATAGCTCATTCTGTCAATTTAAACACACTCAGAGCTTCTGCCTTTGAGCACCGCAGATTTAGCATTGAGGCTTTGATCCAGTCAGCCTCCATCCAGACCACAACGGCCCCGCAGTGCGGACAGTTAAAGAACACATCGCTGTACGTCTGATTTATTGCCTTTATTCCGTTTCCTCAGTTAGGTAAAAGGGAATGAATAACATCAGCTGAAAATGAAAAACATTGCAATTTCTGAATAGTCTGCCTTTCTGTATAATTAGAGGGAAATGTGGGTGTTGTTTTCTTGTAATTCTACATGCAGATCCGTAATCTTTTACTGCTTTTTAAAAGGAGCTGTACCACCTGAGGCCCGACAGACAGCAGGCTGCCACCAGGGAACAGAGCACGTGGGTGGCAGAGCCTTGGCACCACAGTAGACCCCACCTGGAAGGAGGGGCCATCGCAGTTGCCTAATCCTTACTTCCCAGGACTCAAAGTTGTTAAGTCAACTGAAAGTTTTAGGAAAAGGACACCAAAACTTGTTTCCAGATGTTTTCAAGTCATCTGCTTTGTTTGAAATGCCAAAGGGAGTGAGAACTGTTAGACTGGGCTCAGATCAGTTCTGTCATTAAACGCTGGGCAGTTCTAGGTACAGTAATACCCTTTAGCACATGGGGGATGAGAACCTGAATGTTAATGAGCGTTGCTGAGAGGAGAAGTCCCTGGGTGGTGCGACTGTTAATGCATTTGCCTAGTAACCAAAAGGTTCCAGATTCGAGTCCAACCAGACGTGCCTCAGAAGAAAGACCTGACAATCTGCTTCCAAAAACTCAGCCACTGGAAACACTATGGGCACAGTGCCATTCCAACACACACGAAGTTGCCATGCACTGGGATCCACTCAATGGCCACTGGTTTTGCTCAGGGGAGGGCCACACCGAGAAGTGAACTGGAGGCAGCCACTTGAGTAATACTTCCTTGCTTCCTTTGCTAACAAAAATACCAGAGAGCAAGCGAGGGAGAAATTACGCCAACAAGTACCATCGATACTATTTGAGGGTTCTGATCTCTAGTTGCTGCACAGAACATTTGCCCAAACAATCTTAAAAAGGAAATCAGGCAGGAAAAATAAGGGTATTTAGCCTTTTTATATTGGTTACTGGGATACACAAAGGGAAAGAATTCTGCCACAAAGTTAATATGCTACCAACAGATTTCAGCAAAAGCACCTGAGCCAACAATTTCACTTAACAACCTCCAAGCACCAAATTCTCGAACTGTCCTTCCTGCTCCTGCCCAGAAACTGGTCCCTTCCTTCTTTACTCCCATTACTCCTCACTCTGAAACGCCCACAGTCTGTCTCTCAGCTATTCCGTACCACACTCTTCACACAGATGTGAGCGGACCGTCGACACAGCTGGCGGAGCACACACATGTAGCAGAGCGGCACTCGGCGATAAAGTGAGATGCAGTCCGCCTGCTGCCACGACACGACGAACCTCAACCCACTGTGCTGAGCCAGATGGGTCCGTCTGCCACCAGAGGACGGACACCCAATGATCCCACACTGTGCTGAGCCAGATAGTCTGTCTGCCACCAGAGGATGGACACCCAATGATCCCACACTGTGCTGAACCAGATAGTCCGTCTGCCACCAGAGGATGGACACCCAATGATCACACACTGTGCTGAACAAGATGGGTCCGTCTGCCACCAAAGGACGGACACCGAATGATCCCACTTACGTGAAATAAGCAAATATAGAGAAACCAAAGATGACTGGTGGTTCCCAGGAGTGGGAGACATGGGGGTAGGGAGGTTTTGCTTAGGAGGCATTGAGTTTATGTTAAAGGTGGTGGGATACTCAGGAAAGGAGAGCAACAGTGGTCGCCCAACATGGAGAACATAATCAACATCACTGCATCTTACACGTAGAAATTGCTGAAGAGGTGTTTCATTGTGTCTCTTTTCACCATAAAAATAAAATAGTAAAATAGTTGATCAACCCAAAGAAGCAATCTCATCCTTCTCATGAACTTAAGAAAGCATTTTATTTCTTATATATATATATATATATAAACCAAGTAGCAGTTAATAGTGTAGCCACAAAGAAAGAAGAGAAGAGCATCCTTAACAAATGCAACAGCTTTCACCTTCCTGGGAGGATTTAATTGAATAGAGAGACATGGATGGTCACATGAAGATGACACAAGGCGGGCTATTTTACTGGCTGGCTGCACAGTAACACGGAGCACCACATTTTCCTCAGGGGTCTCATTGTCAGAGGCAATGCCTCCAGCTTGAATGAATGCCACCAATGCGCGTGAAAACCAAAGGAAATGCCCTCTGGCATTCGGCCGGCCACACAGGAGCTCACGACGTGGTTTCAGAGCTAACGTTCAGACGCCGGGGGTGGGGGCTCATGTGGCCAGTGGCCACTGTTGGAGAAAGAGCATGAGGCAGGAGGACCAGGGAGAACCTGAGAGCATGGACTAGTCACCTTACAATGACCCAGTCGCCATCAAGGCAGTTCTAAGTCACGGCCACTCTTCCTGTTTCAGGGTGAATTACGCCCACAGGGTGCTCACCAGCTCTGACCTTTAGGGAGGGGATCACCAGGCCTTCTTCTGAGGTGCCTCTGGGTGGACGCAAACCCCCGACCTTTCGGTTAGTAGCCAACCCTTAACCGTTCATACCACCCAGAAACTCCTAATGGAGTATTAGGTTTGAGTGTTAAAGTCCTCTTTAGAAATGTGACGGTTATTTTAAAGACATTTCATCTCTTCCTTCGGCCATGTCAGCAGAAGCCCTGGGCCTGGCCCCACTTACTTGTCGGTTCAGCCTGATGGAGAGGATGTTGCTGGAGTAGCTGTAATTGCAGATCTCTGTGCCTTTCTTGAAGTGATACACGTTCATCTGCCGTGGCTTAGTGTGACTGACCACCACCACCAGGCTGCTGGAGAAGAGGCGCTCGACAATGTAGACGTCCGGGGTCTCATCTGGGGGGACAGAGGCGGTGGGGTTATCGCCCGCGCTCTGGGAGGGAGGCCACTGTCCCCACAGCACAGCGCAGCGTGGCACGGTGCAGCACAGTCTACCTTACAGATGTTCTCTGCCACTGCTGACGGGTGGCATCTGTTAGTCGCATTTCAATGATCATTTTTTCCACAGTGGAGCTTTAACTGTTTCCTGAGGTAACAGTTCCAAAGCCCTCTCCGAACACCTCCGGTAAAGAAAACTCTGTGTGGCTAGTGACTTAAACACAGAGTCAGGATTTCCAGAGCTACCCTGACACCCTTGGCCTTTCCGGGCCCTTGTCCTGGCTGCTTCGGGGCCTTAGGCCTCCAGGGTTGCTGTGTAAAATGCACTGGAAGGCTGGGACATCTAACTACCCACCTGCCCTATGAGAGATCTGACAGGCCTGAGTGGACTGCTGGGGGCCTCGGTGGTCGGGACTCTGTCCCCGTTGCTGAGCTAGTGCCGCAGTGCAATCGGCTCTCCCTCGTCCGGCTGCGCCAGCCCCCGCCGCTGCCCCTTGATTCCCTCCCCCGTTGAAACCAATGGCGACATCAGTATTAGGACAGAAAAGCGCTTGGGTGTTCAGGAAGGACGTAAATGAACAAACCCTGAGCAGCCACAGGTTGCAGCTTCTGTCTCAGTGTCTGAGAACACGTCTTTCACACGTGCGTTCACACAGGCACGATGGGGCAGAGCAGAGCAAACAGTCATGGAACTAAAAATCAGACCTTACAGACGAACTCTTACTGCTGTCGGTGCCTTCACCTTGAACTGTAGATTTTAAGGAAGCAGATGACCGGGTCTTTCTCCTGTGGAGACACTGGGTGGGCCTGAGCCACCAACCTTTGGGTGAGCGGTTGAGCGCTTAACCACGGCGCTACCAGAGTGCTTTACAAATAAATTAGGCGCCCAAACTTTTATCTTCCAAACCACTCTCTCTCTCTAGGAAATCCAAAGATTGTATATCCTTCACTATTATGTTGGGATAAACTACTTGTCTGGAGGAAATAAGAGAGTTCCATTTCTAAGTGAAATTATTTTTAATAGTAACTAACATATTTAATAGTATTTAATAGTAAAGTATTTAATAGTAACTAAAGTATTTGTCAGGCACAGTGGCCAAGTGGTAAGGCGTCAGTCTTGCAAACCGAAGACTGCAGGTTCAAACCCCATCCATGCCTGTGACCTGAGGATGGGGGTTTGGCCGTGGGGCTGTGCTGTCCTCACGTGTTGTTCGTTCCCCTCCTCCATGTGGCATTTTTTTAGGAGCTCTGGTGGCGTAGTGCCTAAGGCATCTGACCGTTAACCAGAAGGCTGGTGGTTCAAACCCACCAGCCACTCCTCGGAAGGAAGGTTGGGCAATCTACTTCTGTACTGATACCACCTTGGAAACCCAAGGAGGGGTCACTATGAGTCAGGGCCGACTTGACGGCACACAACAACAACAACAAAGTATTTAAAGATGTTTGATATGGTCTATGTAAACAGAGTCCCTGGAGGCCTCGTGGCACGGTAGTTAAAGCACTGGGCTGCAAACCCAAAGATCAATGGTTCAAACCCACCAAATGCCCCATGGAAGAAAGATGTGCTAGTCTGCCCTATAAGGCAGTTTTACTCTGTGCTATAAGGTCAGTATGAGTTGGAATCAACGTGACAGTGGTGGGTTTTTCTTTTTATGTAAATAGAGTAGCAGCATTTTATTAAAATAAAGAAAATACTTCCATGACTGAATGACTGCTACCAATATACTTCAGTGCCAATATAATGGCAAAAGGAAGTCCCAAGTGACCTTTTGGGTTGAAAATCATAAGAAGTGATGACTGTGCATATATATATGTGGAAAAATATCAACATATGATTTCAAACCACAGATTTCAGAATATAAAAGAAAATATTACTTAAATGACTGCCAAATTTTAGTAAGTGCTTCTCTGTGGCTTTTTGAAGCAAGCGGATTTATATTTACATGTGAAGAACCCTGGCTCCTTAAGTGGGACAGGCACAAGGAAAGCAGAAAGCTCAGTGGCACGAGCTTGAAAGCTAGAGGAGGGGTCAGGGTCCCGGAGCCTCCAATACTCACCGCTTCCATGGACTTGGTCTAGTTGCTCCACGGAACTCAAGGAAAACAGCTTATACCCAGCTTTGGTTCCAATTGCTAGGGAGCTGTGGGAGACAAAGACAGCATGGGACTGAGCACAGCACTGTGTTCCAACCACAGATCTGCCGGAAAACAGACACCCCTTCTCTTTCGCTCCAACTCCGCCCCCCGCCTCACTGTTCCGGTTGTTGCTGAGCTGACGCAGCACACAGTGACCCCACGGGTACAGGGAACTGTGTGCCACGAGGCTTTCCTGGTTGTGATGGTTGGGGAAGGTTGCCAGGCCTTTCTTCCGCAGCACTGCTGAGTGGTTTCAGACAATCAATCTTTCAGTTCGTAGCCGGGAGCGAACCATTTGTCACAAGGAACTACAGGAGGCACGCTGCTGTGAGTCTCGCTGTGGAGTCCCTTCGGACTCATGGTAACCCCACGTGTGCTGAGTAGAACAGCTCCATGGGGCTTTCGAGGCTGACACCTTTTGGAAGTCCATCTTCCAAGTACCTCGGGGTGGGTTTGAACCACCAACCTTTCAGGTAGTAGTGTAATGCTTAACCGTTCGCACCACCCAGCCGCCTGTGGTAAGACTGCTGTTGTGTGCCGTCAAGATGACTCTGGTTCACAGCGACCCTATGGGACGGAGTACAACTGCCCCATAGGGCTTCTGAGGCTGTAGTCTTTAAGAAGCAGACTGCCACATCTTTCTCCTGTGGACTGTCTGGTGGATTAGTACCACCGACCTTTCAGTTAGCATCTGAGTAATTAACCACTGAACCACCAGGGCTCCTCTAATAGGTGAAACTTAGTTGATGTTTCCTTTCATCACTTTAAAAGCCATGAAAACATCCTAGGTACTTTATAGCAGTACCTGTCATCTCTGGATACATATTAAATTCACCTGGGAGAGTTTAAAAAAATACTGACGACTGTCTATCTGTCCCCCTAACCCCAAAATTTCTACTGAATTGGATTCCCCCCACCCCGAACTTCTTCAAGACTTAATGTCCAGCTAGGGTTAAGGTCTCTCTAAGTCTGTTGTACAAACATGTTCCTCAGCACATCCAACCAAATAAAAGAAATCAACATTTATCTGGGACCATGAGCTTAAAAAAAAAAAAAAAAAGGAAAAAGATCTGGTTTTCCTAATTTCTCACTTTTCAACTAACAGATAATTATAGGCAGAGCGGGAACCCAGATTTCCTTGGTTTTGTTATGGACCAAAGGCTAGGCCAGAGGCCTCCGAGGATCCCCCCCGCCCCAGCCCCACCTGCTTTACTTCCAACACTTACACGATGAACCAAACCTTAAAGGGAACGCTCAGAATGAGCCGTCTGACCCTGAGCACTTCGACCCCAGGAAAATGGGATGTGACAGTGGAACGGACCTTAACCGTAACCCAGTCCACCTTCCACATGCAAAATGAATATATGAAAAGGTGAGATTCGCTCTTCCCAGGGAAACACATCCTAAAATAAGAAACTTACTAGTCCAAGCCTGCCTAGCCAAGGCTCTTGTTTCACTAACCTAAAAAACTGAGGGCCACAAGTTTATCCCTGATTTTTTTTCCCCTTACCCACACTTTTGTTCTCTGGGACACAGTAATGGGTAACTATCGTCAACTTTTAATGGGCCAGGTGGCTGGGTGCGTCCCTTAGGCCTCCAGCCTGCTGAGGAGTTGAACTAGGGTGTTAATATTTGCATAACAGCAGTGGTGCAACTAGAACTGGGGTTTGGCATCCAGCATCCAGCAAAGCACAAGGGTGACAGACAGCGACGGGAGGAGCCAGCCAGCAGCATCTCAAAATGTCAGAACTGCTCCGCGTTTAACCTCTTTCTACATAAGCCACTTCATATAGACGCTTTTGGGTGCAAACTGGGATTTGGAAAGTCTGCAATCAAGGAAACACAACACTGTAACCAGAGTCTCAGACCATTAATCAAAAGAGTTAACCATTTAATTTTCAAACATAAGTGCTCCTAGTGGAACAGAAGGCACTTCCATACAAGGAAAATGGCAGCGTGCTCACTACTGTTTGAAATGACTGATCAATGACTGCAACACTGAATCAATGGATTCAGACTGAGACCTTATTTCATCCATAAGGCTTTCTGTAGGGGGAAAAAAAAAATCTTGTCACCTCTCATGGGAATAGGGTTTGGGACAAATACATTTTGCTAAGCAAATGAAAAATAATGTCCCTAAAGAGTCTAGCCCAGTGCCGAGTATGAAGTATGAATGTAGGAGCCTGGAAAAGGCTAGCTGCCTTTATCCACCTTCCCCAGGGACACTGGGTCCCAAAACCAGCCGATGCTTATAGTATAAAGCATGGACACCCCTGAAGGTACTCACTAAGGGGGCTAGACTTATTTGAAAATCCAATGTCATATCCTCCAAGGCTCAAAGCAACTGCTGTGACAAGAACTGTTATTTATAGTGAAGGCAGAGCTGCCCAGCAGAGTCTTCATCCAAGAAAGCAGAACAAGGAAATTAACTTTCAGAGCACTCTACAGTTTGGCAAACAACATCCTTGTCCAATTGCTATAGACAGCTGGGACTTACTCTGTAGTATCTGACGACAAGAACTGAAATTAGCCTTACTTTCTAAAACTCTGGTAAACAGTGCTCCAGAGCAGAATGTAGAACGTTGACCACTAATAAACAAACTGACTCCCCACTTTAACCTGCGTCACTTGGGAAGGAAAACAGCCCCCAGACATTTCAACAGTCATACCCTCTTGCAAAACGTTTCTTACAAAACAGGAGAATTTTATCTATACTGTCAGTTTTTAAAGTGCAGGTCTCAGCCCAGAAGAGGCTCCTGAAAGCAATTCAGCGGGGCACAAACAACTTTTAAAAAGAAAATGCCAGAGTGTATCATGTTGTTTTTGTTATAATCAAGGTAAATGCTATTTTGTGAATCACTTTTCAGTGATGATATAAGTAAATGGAGCCTTGGTGGCATAATGGCACAGTGGTTATAGCACTTGCTACTAACCGAAAGGTTAGCGGTTCAAACCAGCAGCTGCTCTGTGGGAGAAAGATGGTACAGTCTGCTCCTATAAACATTGTTGTTTGTTTGTTTTGTTATGTGCCGTCGAGTCAGCCCTGACTCATAGCGACCCCGCCGTGGGTTTCCGAGGCAGTATCACTACAGAAGTAGGATTGCCCAACCTTACTTCAGAGGAGTGGCTGGTGGGTTTGAACCACCAACCTTCTGGTTAGCAGTCAAGTGCCTTAGGCACTATGCTACCAGAGCTCCTCCTATAAACATTACAGCCTCGGAAATCATATGGGGCAGTCCTACCCTATCCTGGAGGGTCACTGTGATCCCGTAGGGTCATTATGACTGGGAATGTACTAGACAGGAGTGCGTCTGGCTGCTTCGCTTTTTAACCTGTTAATGGAAGGTTAATGGAAGTGGTGGTGTAATCCTATTTCTTATTGTGGGTTGTGGTCAAGAAAAGCTTCAAAGCCATTCATCTCCCAAGCCATTGGGCGACTCGATTTTACGACTGCACGTACAGTTTGTCAAACAAAGGCATATTGTTCAGCAAGGGGTGTTTTCACACAGAAACACAAAGGGAATGGAGGCCAGCATTGCTTATGGTACACGATGGCCTTCATGACACCAGCAAATGTTCAATATTAGCACAGCTCAGTCATAAGGCGCCAAGGCTCAAGCTGGAAACAGACTCCAAACAAGGAACACCACAGAACTAGTACAGCAGGAAGTGGGGCGGTGGGAAGCGTCTTCCCAGCCTGATGCTCGAGGGGTGTGCATTCCAAGGAGGTTATTCTGTGGGATCCCGACGGCTCCTGCTAACAATTTCATGAAAAGAGGGAAGGAAACAGGCCTTAGCTTCCAGACAGGGAATCCCCCAGAAACCTGAAAGCCGGCTTTCTGGCCAAAGCCCCAAGTGAACATCAAAGTGAGACGGATGGAGCAGCAACAGGCTCCCGGCTCCACAGAAGCCAGTTTGCAGGGAGGGGCTCTTTTGCCCCTGAGGAGGCTGCTGGCTCTGGCTGGGTGGGATGTGTGGACAGAGCTGGAGAAATCGAAATGTTCCTTACACCCAAGGCCGGCAGGCAAGATGCCCTGGGCTGGGGCTGGGGCTGGGCCTGGGGCTGGGCCTGGCCTGGCCGAGGGATAGGCTGCCTTTGTCCCAGGCCCTGCCCAGATGCCACGTTGAGATGCACAAGGGCAAATGGGAAAGTTGCTTCTTCCCTCCCACCTCCCTGGGCCCCCACGACACCGTCTTGGGTCAGCTTTCCACTTGGCCATCGCCTCCCGTCCCCTTTGTTGTGGCCGTGGCTCCCCCTCTCCGGACCCCCACCTCGGTCACCCGCTTTCCCACCGCCCCTCGTGTTCCTTAGCCTCCCTGCACCCTCTGCTGGCGCTGACTCCCTTCCTTCACCCTTGGCCCGTCCCTCTTGGCTCTGTGCCCGCGGCTGGGGGTGCTGGGTGAGCGCTCCCCCGGGGGCTGGGGTGGGTGGGAGAGGGAGGCAAGGCCCGAACCCTCCGATGCAGCCGCTGGCGGTCCTGCCGAGGACCTCTTGGGGCGGAGAACCGCCTGTCCTCTCCCGGACAGGACCTGCCCGCGCCCCACACTTGGGTCGCGACATCCTCCCCCTGCCCTCCACCCCTGGCCCCGGCTGGGCTGGCACCTCGCCTTACGTGCAGTCCTGGTTGAAGGAGAAGCAACTGAGCGCCGGCTCGACCCCGCCCAAGGGGGCGTCCGCGGCCTCGGCCGCCATCGGAGCTCGACCCGGCGAAGCTGCCGCTCCGGGCCGGCGAAAGCCACCTCAGCAGCCGCTCACGCCGGCTCCGAGGGCCGGGCCGCCGGCCCGCACCCGCTTCTAGCCCTGCCCCCGCCCCGCCCTGCCCCTGCTTCGCTCCGCCCGTGCTTCGCCCTGCCCCTCCCCTCCCGTCAGTTCCCCGGAGCCGAGCAACTGACAGGGTAGGGCCTCCGTTGCAGGCCGCCATTGGTCACTAGTGTACGCCGTGGAAGGCGGACACAGTTGTTCTGGCCAATCCTCGGCGACTGTGGGCGGAACCGCCCGCTGGTGACCCGCCTCCAGCCCCGCTACACGGCTCGCCATTGGACAAAGGCCCTTGACGCGAAAGCTTCAGGACACGTGGTGGTGTTTTCATTGCCAGAGTGGCCCAGAGAAGGGAGAGAAAGAACTAGGGCAGCTGAGGTCAGACCTGTCGGCTCCAGTCCCGCGTCTGCGTCGGGGCCGCAGCCCCGGAGACTGGCGGACGCGCTCTTCCCCACCCCACCCAAACTCCTCTCATGTCTCTCTGTAAATTAAACTTCGCATGGGAGCATGCAGAGTTCAGTAGAGAGCTTCAGACGCCAAAGCCCCACCCTTTGGTAGAGTCTTCAGTTGCTTCCAGAAAAGTTTCTTAAACGAGGTAGCTAAGGCCAGGCAGATAAGAAGTTATCTTACCCATTGCCCTGACGTTGGGAACTGCTACATGTAGGATGTATATTATCTCGTTGAATTCTTAAGAAAGAATTGTGACGAAGTATTATCCTCTGTTTACAGAAGAGGCAATTGAAGCACAGAACGTTAAATAATTTGCCTAAAGTAACACAGTAAATGGTAGAATGTCTGGTTTCAAGACCTGTGATGGATGCCAACAGCTCTGATCAACAGTAAATGTCAAGACCGATCTGATCTGTAGCAGAAAAAATGAAGCAAAATGTGTATCAAACCCACTGCCATCTGACCGATTCAGACTCATAGTGACCCTACAGGACAAAGTAAAACGCCCCCTAGGGTTTCCAAGGCTGTACATTTTTATGAAGGCAGACTGCCTCATCTTTCTCCCGTGGAGAGGCTTGTGGCTGGTGGGTTTAAACCGCCAAGCTTTTGCTTAGCAGTCTGTTGCTTTAATCACTGTA